AAATGAAGTTGTGGTGCAACAAGTCAGCAACCAGCAACTCAAACAACCTGGTGCAACATGATAAAACCAAATATGTGGAGATTAATAGGTTCTTTATCAAGGAAAAGTTGAATAATGGACTACTGGAGCTAATTAAAGTAGCAACAAAAGAGCATGTGGTTGATTGCCTCACCGAAGGACTTAGCTCATTAGATTTGTCTAGGTTGTGAGACAAGATGGGCTTAGTGAATATCTTTTGCCCATATTAAGGGGGAGTGTTGAGATTTGTATCTAATGTAGGTCTTTATTTGTAAATAGAAGTCTAGGGATTTATATGTAAATGTTGTAAGGCTCTATATAAGCCCAAGCCATTAATGAAATGGGTAAGTTCTCAAGAGCAATTATTTCTTTGTTAATCATGGATCAATTAGATGAATTAGTTAGGGTTCAAATAAAGTTGTGTTCGAGTGAGTATTTTTTAACAGAAACTCAAAACAATTGATTCATCCTCAACTAGGACTCGAACCGAAATATTAATAATCTCAAGCTAAACCAACTTTAATCAAAACTATTTAACTTTAAATTAACTAAAAAAAAATTCAAATAAACTTGAAATCATTCTAAATTTATATATACATCAAATTAAAAATTAAAAAATATTTTCCTAAGCTTAGAAGCTTCAGTTAGAACTACGAGTTAATAGCCTTGATATAGCAACCTTGGCAAAGATAACAACAACAAAGAAAAAGCATATTCCATATATGTAATGAAGCCATAAAAATTTTATATCAGTCATAATGTACTTTAGCCATTTAATTGATGCCCAACACTATGTAAGGAGTTATAGTTTTGTATCAAGGAAAACTTCACTAGTGTATATGAAATAAAAATTGATACTTCCATATCCTCTTTAAGTCCTCTCGCTCTCCTTTTTTTGATCCTATCTACCACTTTTATTCTACTATGTAATTTTCTCTCCTTGAACCACTCCAATACAAGGGTTAGTTATAAGATAGTTACTACTAAAAAAATTATCAACTAGAAAATTATGGATGCAATTGGTTATTATGCTCCACAAGTTGAATTAAAAAATAGTTTCAAAAATAAATTTTGAGAAGAAATGGATGAAGAGCCGCAAACATATACATACCAAAAAAATGATAGCTATTGAAAGTGATTTACACGGGTATATAGGCAAGATTTTGAAAATCAAGTTGTACATTGAATTGAAAAAATACGAGATATAATATTTAAGGTTAAAAAAATCACCAGAACTAAACCGAATGATATAATAAATAACAAAATTATTAAATATAAAAAAACATACTAAATAATAATAATAATAATGATATTTTCACCAATTTAATGTACAATATACTTTAAATTAGAACTTTTCACCATTGAATATTTTCAATATAATTCTATCTTAAAATATAACAGCAGGATATTTTGATTATTTTCACCATGCCATCGATATAGTCATACAAATACTTGTAGTAGCTTAGAATGTCAATGTCAACCTAGCTAGTAGAAATTTCATCTACTAAGATATCCAAAAATTTGCACCTGGCTCTTCTAAGAGAATAGTACTTCCGAGTCAGATTTTTAAAAGATACTGAATTTTAGATAAGATACTACTTAGAGATTTCACTCTCATTTTAAAAGAATTTTATGATCTGATTCCAAAATATTTAAAGAGGAATTTCAATTAGTAGAAATGATCAAAAGCCACAAAGTATATTTTTTCTATAATTCTACAATAGTTTAGAAGAAATGCAAAAGGTGAGTGAATCAGAAAACAAATGTAAGGATCTCCAACATCATGGTTAAATAGCCCTAAGTAGTGTTGGTTTTTGTTAGTCATTATCATTTTTTTATGATCTAATTAGGTCTAATAATATTTTATTAGTTAGATTTAATCTAATATTGTTTTTTTCATTTACCTATATATGAAAAAATCATATTTAGCTTCTATACATGCAATCCTCTATTCTATAAAAGATAATTAAAACTACCTTATATGCATGACAACTCAGAAAAAAAAATCTCATTGCATCACCCATGTATATGCATTCTAATATCCATTCTCATTTGTTGTACAAATGCACAAGCCTTCATGCTAAAATTAGGAGTTGAAATGTTATGCATAACTAAAGTTACAAAATTGCTGCTAAAATTCATAGAAGGCATACAAAGGATAATAAAAAATAATTATGTTCTAGTGCATACTCATCCTTAATGTATTCTGCCAGATGCAAATAAAAAGTTACTTGCCCAAACATCTAGACAATTTAAGATAAATGAAAATTTTATATTTAACACATAGGTTATTGATGTATCTTCTATTATGAATTATGAGTTCATTTTTCAATACCAAAAAAAAATTAACTTATCAAGGCACATTTAAGCATCCTATGTTTCTGGTAAGTGTATCTTCTGATGGAGTTATTGCATTGTTAAACCCTCAACCTATTCATATACTAACTTGAGTACCAATCTCATTTGAAATTAAGCAGATTAATGCAAATAAATTTGCATTAGGTCCTCAAGCTAACCAAGATACATGATTCAATAGCATTAGGATTGTCAAAAGAGTTTGTTAGTGAACAGCTTGTGTTCGGCTCATTAAGTAGCTCGTGTTCTAATCATTTATTAAGTAAGCGAGTCGAATACAGAAAAAAATTTTAAACATGAATTATAAACGAGTTGAACACAAAAAACTTTTATTCGCTCGTGTTTGACTCGTTTTAGCTCGAAATAAGATAACTATATATAATATTTATATGATAATATATTATATATATTTATATATAAGTTTAAATCATAACATCTTGTATGGTCATATGATTATGCGTCTTATATTGCACATGAATGGTACATGTTCGAATCCAACATCTTATATCTATTTTTTTAAATAATTCAAACGAACCAATTTCGAGTCGAACACAAACAACAATATGTGAATCGAGTCGGACACGAGCCAAGTTCAAGCAAAATTAATCTTGAACGAGCAGAAAAAGAGTGAAGCCTATGCTCGCTCAAGCTCGGCTCATTTACAAATTATAGCCATCAATAAAATGGTTGTCCACACTCAAAAGATCTTTAGCTAATACATGAATAACTTCAAAGGGTCATCCTTGATCCTTTAGATGAGTAACATCATTAATATTCTCTAGTGACAATTTTTCCCACCACGAAAGAATTGATAGAGACCATTCAATCGCTTCGATATCTTATAAAATAATTACTAAACACGAAGACAAGCTTCCTAACCATCTAATGCATCTTTATAAGAATTTTATAGAAGTCCCTTTATTTTAAATCAAGTTAATTTTCAATTTGAATTGGATAAATTGTTTTGTAGCTAGGCCTTTCAACAAAGTTAGATGCCTAAAATTAGCCTTTAAACCAAACACTTTTCACATGAATGAAATTTTTTTTGGCCATGTTTTCTTAATTTGCCCAGTACATTATTAACTACCTCTTTTTCTCATTTTTAATGCAATTTCTTCAAATTGTCTATCCTAAAAGAGACATCATCTCTCTTCCCCACCAAGTATCTTACATCATCTATTTCAATATTATGTTTCTTATGACATTCAATCTGCCCCTCATTGCAAATTCCTTATTTTTATGTTGTGTCACAATACTTTATAATTCACTTTCATATTCTAAAGATCTAGGTAGTGTCTATGGTTGATTAGTTGACAAAATTTAGATAAGAGAGTTAAGACAATAGGTTGAGGCTTGAAAGAAGATTAATTTGCCTTGATGCATGATGTTTCTTCGTTGCAATAAATCGGCCTTATTTTTACCCTTGTGTTCCTCAATGCTTCACATAGTTTTAGAGTGGTCGCTAATTTATAAAGAGAAGTAGACCGTCTAACCAGTGAGAGAGACATTGAGTGTGATCTAATAAATTTAGCATAAACTTCGTTAACTTGAAAAGAAAACTCATAAGAGCTCTTCTTTATCTCAATTGTATAGTATGGCAGCTTAAGAGGTTTAGACACCTAAATCAAAGAAAGAGAATAATATTCATTCTTAGGTATCAAAAATAATAATAATAAATTTTAGCTCAAGATAGTTCACAAAGAATTTGTTTAAAGCAATTAGTTTGGATAAACCATCAACAAAATTCAATATAAATATTTAAAATGTTTATTATAAACTCATTAGGTCCAAACTGAACATAGAAAAATTTAATCAAGAGTCAACATAACAAAAAAATTGGTGGAGAGCATCCGATATCACTTAACAAAAACTTAGTTTCACTATGGACATTTAAAATGTTACATATAAACCTAATAGGTTCCTATTAAATCTACCCAAAAGTTAAACCTTAAAGCTTAAAATTTCCCTAATAGGTTCCTATTAAATCTACCCAAAAGTTAACATAGGCAACCTTAAAGCTTAAAATTTTACACGAATCCCTCATGTCATGGTAAAATATGGTTTACAGTTTCAATGTTGATTTCTTGATGCATGTTTTCCGAGAGAGTTGTACGCTTTCAAATTCTTTGGATTGCTTCAATGGGCATGAGATCATTCATAGTGACGGAACCAAAACTAAAAAAGAGAGGGGTGGCAAAAAAAAAATAAATTGGATTGCTTCAATGGGCATGAGATCATTCATAGTGTCGGAACCAAAACTAAAAGAGAGGGGTGGCAAAAAAAAAATAAATACTAATGAGTAGCGCGTATTTAATTTTAGAATTTTCCTCTTCTGAAAATTTGTTAAAACAATTATAATGTGATTATTAAATTTAAAATATAATTAATACTAAATTAGTATTTAGTATTTAAGTTCAAGATAGCAAAATATTTAAAGTAATATATAATACAAAAGAGAAGTAATTAGGGGTGCAGCCACCCCTAATTCCACCACTGATGATCGGGATAAAGACCCTATTCTAGCATCTGACATAGTTAAATCAAAGATTACTGAAAACTAACTTTCAACTATATAAATTGTTAGAAAAATTAAAAAAAAAATCCAAACAACGCAATTGATGCATAGTTCAAACAAAAAAAGATATAAATATAGCTTTGTCATCCAAATGTCTTACAAAGGGTATCTTCGATGCCTTGTCATTCCAAACAGCAAGCAAGCCAAGCGCTGCGAAGAATCCCAGCCCTCCACAAAGCCATGCCAGAGATTCATACTGCGCAGGAATTCAAAAGAAACAAATAATAATAAGAGAGAACGAGAGCCCAATGCACCAAGATCCCTCCAACGGAGGATCGAGATAAATCCAAAGGAAATCAAAACGTAATATTCCTCCAATTGAGCCAAATCCCGGAGTCTGATTGCGGGGTGGGTGGCAGCCAGAAAGTTACCTTGCCTATGTGTGGAGCGAGGCGATCGATGCATGGCTCCGGGAAAGGCGTTCCGTTGTCCCATACCAACTCGTCTTGCTCCGGCAGCTAAATAAATAGCAGAACAGGAATCGATGAAGAAAGAAAAAAGTTATCGGTGAAATGAATTCAGCGAGAGCGCGAGGGATCCCTTACGGGTTTGTCGGGAACTATGTGCTTTCCGACGGGAAGACCCATGCCGGAGCGTGTGGGCATGGAGAACGCAACGGATCGGCCAACGCCGCCGCCGCCCAACAGTCGAGATGCAGCCGTGCTGAATCTACCAGCCATCTCTCCTCTCTGCTTCTCTCCTTCGCTGAATCGCGCGAGAAATCCTCAAACCTGCTAACAAAAAAGCTTGGACCTGTAGACCCTTCGTGCTCAGATCTCATTGGTTTTGGTCATTGAATTCAGAAAATATTGAGTCCCTCTCGATGCGAATTTCATGTATAATATTGCTATATATTATTTTATATAATATGTATATAATATTATTATTAAATTCAAGTTTATCTCATAAAACATGTTGAAGGAATATATCATAAAAACCGAAGAAAGGAGAGAGAGGTGCAAATTGGTGGTTTTCTTCGGGCTTTAGTGATCATTTTATATATTAAAATAAGTTGTTATAAAATTAAAATAAATTGTTATAAAAAAATAGAAGAGTGATGCATAAATGGATAGAAAGTTTAAAGGGCTCTAGTCTCCTTATACGAAAAAAAATCATCTAAAATAGAAGAGTGATGCATAAATGGATAGAAAGTTCAAAGGGCTCGAGCCTCCTTATATGAAAAAAGGTTATCCTATTTATAGAAGAAAAAATGATAAAAATGTAAAAATTACATCCCTACTTGTGATTTATATGTTAATATTATATTCATTGACATATTTTCAAATGTCAAGCAGTTTTTCATACGTCTAACATATTTTCATATGTCCGGCCTATTTTCATATATCTGACACATTTTCATATATGTGACACATTTTCATATATATGACATTTTCATATAGTGACACATTTTCATATGTACGGCATATTTCGTATATTTGACATTTTTCGTTGTTGGGACTCGTGTTCGACTAGTTAAGAAGCTCGTGTTGTCTTACTTGTAAATGACCGATTTTAATATTGATACATGATTATATATGAACCATATCAACTATGTTCTACTTATACTATTAATCAATTATATATATATATATATATAAAGTTTCTTATGGCTACCTGATTAGGGTTGTCAAAACGACTATTTGTTTGCGAACGGTTCGTGTTCGGCTAACTAAGCAAACGAGCCGAACACGAGCTGAGCCTGGGTTCGCTCGTGTTCGGCTCGTTTACACCCCTACTGTTGGGTCCATCTGGTAAGACAACCTATAGTTTGGCTTGGGTGGCTACCCGAATCAAGTGATTGACCGATCTCTGTTGTCGTCAGCTCAAAGCTAGATCTGTATGGCCATTTTTCAGACATACACTAGAGTACGAACGAGCCGATTTCAAGTCGATCTTGGTGCGGCTCGAAATCAATTAGAAATTATTTTAATTGATTAGAAATCTACTCATGACTCGAATCATCCCGATCAAAATCAAACGATTTATGAGCTAGCTCGAAAGCCATTTAAGGTTGTGAGTCATATCGCTCTGGCTCAAAAAAATAGCTCAAAATCCCCTTTGAGCCGGCTTGGAAACTTCATTTGAAAAAAAAAAAAAAAACTATATTAATAATATGAAAAATAAAGCAATCAAAAAACAAAATTGAGTTTTTTAAAAATTGAATGAATTATCAAAATACAAATTTACAGTTTACAATAAAGAAAAATAAATATTATTTATTCCCTTATAATCATAATTTATAATTTACAAATTATATACTACAAATTTACAAATTACAATTGACAATCTAAAATATCAAATATAAGAAATTACATATAAAAGCAAAATAAAATAATTCTCGAAACTTGATTCTTGACGAACCAGTAAAGCCAACGTGCAGCAACACGGTGGATCCGACTACAATTCCTACTAAGTTCTTCATATAAAATGGTTTGAATCATACGTTTTATAAAATGGATATGCTTTTGCTCAAATAGCTCAAAATCCACCATTTTAGAATGTCTAACTAAATCTTAGCAAAAAATGAAAACTCTGATTTCAATTTAAAGCCAACTTCACCTAAATTGTATTGGATATCAATCAACGCATTGACGGTTAAATCCCTAGGAAAAATACTACATCAGTACTACGCATGTAGAGTAATGTGTTAATGTGCGTCGCCAATGAAATCAAGTCACGACACCTCACGCGACAGGAAAAACAAAAACGGCGCGGTAACACGGGGAATATTCCCCTCGTGTTATTCATGTGTTATTGTGTGTTATTTATGTGTTATTGATGTGTTATTGTGTTATTGTAACATCAAGAATATTATCAGGACACAATAACACATGAGTAACACACAATAACACCAGAATAATAAGGGGGAATATTTCCGACAGAGAAAAAAATGACGCGGTAACACGGAAGAATATTCCCCCATGTTATTCATGTGTTATTGTGTGTTATTCATATGTTATTGATGTGTTATTGTGTTATTATAACACCAGGAATATTCTCAGTACACAATAACACATGAATAACACACAATAACACATGAATAACACGGGAGGAATATTTCCCGTGTTACCGCGCCGTTTTTTTTATGGCACGTGGGGTGTCGTGGCGTGATTTTATTGGCTACACACCGTCCCCTTCGAAAAAAACTCAATATGTCTTTAATGATCCCTATATGTTGAGGTATCGCCCTAATTCTCCCTGTCTTTCTTAGACTAGAGCGCGTATTTTCTGCCCCAACACCTGACGCAGCTCTACGTGCAGTGCATGTTATTCCTGAGTTATTTTCATGTTATTTTTGAGTTATTTTCAATAATACTGAAATAACAAAAAAATAAAAACCGCGGGTTATTTTTGGATTTATTCAGGATTATTGAAAATAACCCAGAAATAACCTGAAAATAAATCAAGAATATCTTGCTCCGCACGTAGAGCTACGTCAGAAGCCTACACATAAAAATTTTTATAGACCGGAAAGATCGCAATTCTGCCTCAAATTTGCATCGTTATTTGGTTTAGGATTTGCATGCTGATCCAAGAAGCGGCATCGATTAGTTATAGTTCCGATAATATGATAATGAGCATCGGTGTGGTTGTCGAGCATCTCGTTTTGAGCTCTTGGATCTCTCCTCGCATTTCCATACAGAATTCAAAGAAATCATAAGTGAGCTTTTCGATTCGCTTCTAGTGTTGTCCTAAGGGATTGTCTAGTGTTGTCCTAAGGGATTCTAGACTACAAGCACCTGACAGTCGGGTGTTTACTTCCTTCAGCCAATGCTACCCAAAATGAATTTTATATTATTACCTGCATACCATTTTTCCTATGCATGAAAATGTGGAATTGTGTCGTGAGCATTAATCATTAGCGATAATTTCGATGTGATACGAAAGAATTGGGTGAATATCAAAATTTGGAGAAAATTTTATGCACAATTTTATTGGTATGACAACTTTCTAGAAGAGCTCAAACTTTTGGTTTAAGAGAATTATAATTATCATCGTAATTTTTTGAATATTTATTTATTTTTTAAGAGCTTCATGAATAATTTTTAATAAGACAATCAGATCATAAAATTTAAATATATACATTTTTATTTATAACAAATTACGTGACGTTTTAAATATAGTAGTGTAGACTGTAGCAGGAGAAGTGGAGAGCGAAAGCTGTCCGTGCGCCGAAGAAATATTACATCAGTACTACGCACGTAAAAATAACGTGCGTAGCCAATCAAAACACGCCACGACATCCCGCGCGGCAGAGCAAAAAAAACGGCGTGTTACGGGGAATATTCTCTTATGTGTTATTCATGTGTTATTGCGCGTTATTCATGTGTTATTGTGTGTTATTCATGCCCGTGTTACTGCGCCGTTTTTTTTTTCTGCATCGCGAGAAATATCGTGGCGAGGAATATCGTGGCGTGATGTACGCACGTTACTCTACGTGCTTAGTATTTTTTCCCGTGCGCCCGAAGTTGGGAGCTCGCTCCTCAGTAGTATTACGCGGAACCAGACCCGGCGATCGGTTCTCCGTGCTGGGAGTGGGCCGAGGCGGCGAAATGGCGCGGCGGACGGTGGTGGCGGTGGCTGTGATGCTGGCATGGGCGGCGGCGATGGCTGTTTGTTGCTCTGGAGGCGACCCATACGCGTTTTTCGACTGGAATGTTGCATATATGAAAGCGGCTCCGCTTGGAGTGGAGCAGCAGGTGTGCGCCGTCTTGCAGTTGTTTGGTCTTCTTCCGCTTTTTCTCTTTTTCGATCTGCAATCCTTTTTTGTCTAAATAGGGCTGAAAGTAGATATTCTTTTCCTTTGACCCGATTTTTCTACTCTTTTTTGCACTTTTATCGCTGTGAGGCGTAGATTTGCGGCTGTTTGAACTTTTTTCTTTTCTGGGTTTGTTATTAGTTATCTTTCTTATCGGCGGCTGTAGGTGATATCGATCAATGGCAAATTTCCTGGACCCATTGTCAATGTGACAACCAACTGGAATGTTGTGGTGAACGTCCTGAATAGTCTGGATGAGCCGCTCCTTATTACTTGGTAATATTTTTTCTTTTATTTGTTTTTCCCTACACCATTGATGAAGGAACTAGAGAAATTTTGAGCCCGTGATTGTGTTTGGAAGCGCTAGGGTATTTGTTTGGAGATTCTGATTTGATTTTGGGGTTTAAGGGACGGGGTGCAGCAGAGGAAGAATAGCTGGCAGGATGGAGTTCTAGGAACAAATTGTCCAATTCCAGCGGGCTGGAACTGGACTTACCAGTTTCAGGTCAAAGATCAGATTGGGAGCTTCTTCTACTTCCCTTCAATCAACCTCCAGCGTGCTTCTGGAGGGTTTGGAGGGTTCACGATCAACAACAGGGAAATTATTCCGGTGCCCTTTGATACGCCGCATGGGGACGTCACTCTTTTTATTGGCGATTGGTTCAATAAGAACCACACGGTGAGCGCAAATGGAAGTGTTGCTTGATGAAGAAAGTAAACTATTTTGAATGCTACTTTCCAATTAAACGCACTTAGTTTAACAGTTGTATTGACTAGGATTTGAGGACGGAGCTTGATCAGGGAAAGCCTCTTGGTATTCCTGATGGTGTGGTGATAAATGGCAAAGGTCCTTATCGTTACAATGCCACCCTTGTTCCGGCTGGTATTGATTATGAGACCATCAATGTTCAGCCAGGTGAGATATCTCATTGTCCATAAGCCCTACCTTTTTTGTAATTCATATTTTTTATAGGGGCATTTACATACATAGCACCAAATTCCTATATATTTACATATCTAACACCTATTTATATTCTACATTTATAGCACCCATATTTTTTATTTCACATAAAAAATACCAAAATTTTAACTTTTAAAAGAATGAAATAGTAGTTTTCATGCGTAGGTCTGGTGGCATAACTGTAAAAATTGAAGTTTAGGTGTTAGATTTGTAAATGCATGGGAATTGAGCGGTATGTTTGCAAATCTTCCTTTATATTATTTGAAATGTATATTCAGGCTATCAGTTGTTCTCTGTTCGAATGATTTTTACACAGCGTCAGCTGTTGGAATAATGAAAGTATACCTTTTATATTTAACCGATCACTAGAATGGTTTTTGGAGAAGCTATAGAGACGCATAAATGCGAATTTATATCCGATCTACAGCCTTTTTATTCTTTCTCCCCCAAAATACATAAAATTGTGAACATGGTGCTCTTTTTCTTAATTTTGGAAAGATAGTTCTTGGTTTATTGATGCAATTTTTTTTTTAACAGGGAAAACTTACCGACTCCGCGTCCACAATGTTGGGATATTTACTTGTTTGAACTTTAGGATTCAATCCCACAACTTGCTTCTTGCCGAAACAGAGGGATCATACACTGTGCAACAAAACTATACTAGTCTAGATATCTTTGTTGGGCAGTCATACTCCTTCTTGGTAACTATGGATCAAAATGCAAGCAGTGACTACTACATTGTTGCGAGTGCTAGGTTTGTGAATGGTTCAAAATGGGATAGAGTTGTAGGTGTTGCACTCCTACACTATTCAAATTCCAAAGGAAAAGCTTCTGGTCCTCTTCCCGATTCTCCCAATGACGTTTATGACAAAACTTACTCAATGAACCAAGCAAGATCCATCAGGTTTGTGCTGAGATTTTGTGTATTGTTTACCACGCACGGCAGTTTACTTGTTGCATATTAACATTCACCACATTGTTTATGCTCCTTTATTAATTTACTTTCTTAGCATTCTTGGTTACGTCTATATTATGGCCTATTTGTTTTGACTTAAGTCTCTAGAATTGATTGTATCTTAATTTTGGAATTGAGTTCAAACACCTGTATGGTAAAATGGAAGCTTCTTATAATTTCATTATTATAAAAATAGTCGGTAATATAAAGTATGTGTGAGGATTTTTTCAAGTGTTATTTAAGGTAAAAACGAATTAATGGTATAATTGTGATAAAAATAAGATAATTAGTCACATATTAGTTAAATAAATATTAATTGGCTTATTAATTAGTGACAAATCAATAACTAGATATTGTATTGGATAATTAATATTGTATATATACTACTTATGTTTTGAATGCAGTTTATCATTTGATATGGTTAGTTAATAACTTGCTCTTCTTTTTAGAAGGAATGGAGAATTCACTAGAGTTGGTTGTTTATCGAGGTAGTTATACTTTTAGGTTGTAAACTTCCTTGTTTTTTATTTTGTAAAAATCATATTCATGATGACATGTTAGCATGCTAGATTGGCAAAAGACATAACTAGTAGGAGTGCAACCTAATTGGGCTAATGTGAAAGCGCTATCAAGTTAAACGCATGCAAAATGTAATTTTCATTGCTGCCAACCTAATTCATTCTAGTGCCAACATTGCACTAAATTCAACCAATTGGTTTTGTCCTTCTTAGATTAAAAATATGTGATAGGATTAATGAATTTAGCGGGGTTTTTTGAAGCTTAGTCTTATACAGAGATTTTGCTATTCAAATACAATTAAATCTATATTTTCACTTCTTTATCAAATATCTGAATTGGTCAGTGGAGTCAAATCTTAGCTTGGTGTGGTTATCTACAAGTTGGAAGATTTGAAATTCAAAAGGAATCCAAATGGATATTTGAATCAAATATCTGAATCGATAATCGAGTTGAACGTTAGCTTATGCAAATATCTACTATCTGGAAGATTGATCTTGATGGAATCCAAACCAACGGAGATGCATGAGAGAATGATAGTGTTGTCATCAATTTTTGATGTCGCGAGTGTAGGATATCCGCTCGAGCACTATGAAATCTTACTTGATGCATGTGTTAGGACCCGTTTGGGGCAGCTTATAAGGGTGCGGCGGCGTTTTCAAAACGCCGCCTTTTCGTTTGAATATCGCGTTGGCCAATATCGCGTTGGCCCCAAATTATTCGTGCCGCGGCGTTATCTTATCGTTGTTTTCTTCGTATCATCGCAAGCTGGATATTACTCGCATCCCGCGTATCAGTTCTGTGATTAGGAAACAATTCCAGCGCTGCCCTCAGATCTCGCTCGCCCTCCTTGGAGAATCGCCCTCCCGATCCCTCTCTCGGCTCGCAGATCTCCTCCCGATCCCTCGCTCGGCTCGCGGAAAGGAGTATCACATATCTCCTTGGATCTCCTCTGCTCCTTCACATCACAGATCTCCTTGGATCTCCCCCTCGCAGATCTCCCTCGCTCGCCTTTCCAGAAGAATCGATCTCCTCCGCTCCTCTGCTCCCTCAGTTTGCCCTTCCAGGATCGACGAAAGGTATACCCGATATCCCTCTCCTTCCATTTCGATTTTCCTTTCTGATTCATTTCCCCTACGATCCTTGGAAGTTCTTCTTCTCTGATTCGTTTCCCCTGCTCGCCATAGAAGTAAAGTGGGTGTGAGTTTAGATACATAAGAATTGTGTGCAACAAATGTAAATATCTTGTGCATTATGCGTGCATTATAGCTTATAAATAGGATAGGTGGAGAATGGTTCTGAGCTGAAATCAATTCCAGGTATATTTGCAACAAGGAGTAATTGGATTTGAAAAATGGTGAAGTCAGTTGATTTGAAATTCATTTTTCTTCTAGTTATATTCCGCTCCCTCAGTTTCCCCTAAGAACCTTCAACACCAACTTTAAATTAATGTTGTCTCTACAACCGAAAAAATGAGTCGAATGAAATCAATCTTCACCATCCTTTTTCTGTCAATGGCTATTTCTTTATTTCAAGTTTCCAGAGCCACTGATCCTAATTTATTTTCTTACATTTCCCATTGTATGTTATCTTTTGAATTGATCTATGATGATTTCTGGGTTCTGTATTATATACTTTTGCTCTAATTTCAGTTATGTTCCAACAACTTAACCAAATAAGGGCAAAACTGTCATTTATTTAACAACAACTCCCATTAAGCTGTTCTGAATAAGCTGCCTCAAACAGCAAGCCAGCTTTTTCTGATAATCTGCAGATTATCAGATTATCAGAATAATCTGCTTATCAGCAGATTATAAATAATCAACAGCTGCCCCAAACAGATCCTTAATTTCCGTAGTGCAAGTCATCTATTTGAGATCCTCCAACGCTTGTTGAGAGGCACGCTGTTGGGATCGTTCTGCTAGACTTTGTTCGTTGCTTAGGCGAAGGTCAATTGGCATTTTGTCCGGTAGATGACTTCGATCGGGTTAGCAGATCTCATTTGACACGTCGCTTAGCCGAAATTTGGTCGGCATTTTGTCTATTAGATGGCTTTGATCGGGTCAGCAGATCTCATTTGCCACGTTGCACCCGAAATTGACTTAAATTATCTTTTTAACTCTTATATATAATTACATATGTACCATTTTTTGTGCGACTCTTGCTTGATTACCAAAGTTTTAAATTTAAATATCAATTTCCTTAGTATTTTCTCCAACCTAATTAATTTATTGGTTGTATAAGATATTTATCTTCATATGAACAATAATATTTACTAATTTCATTAATTTATTTGTCAGAGTACCTATATTCCAAGATCTATCATAATATTAATTTCATAGACTAACTTCTTTGCTTGCATCCGTCCAACATTACACTCGTGCGCGAGTGTAGCAACACTTGCATGTTTTCACTGTATTCAGAACTTGATATTAAACAAATACAAATATTCATAAAAATTTTGTTCAGTAATTATATAAAATAATTGTAAAATAAATTTATCACTTATAAAATAATAATTGTAATAAATAGATAAAGGCAATAATTATAATATAATGATGATTTATATAATTGCTTTAGAGTGTGCTGCAGTTGTGCTCATATTCCTTCATTTCTCTTATTTTGTAGTTGCTTTTAACGCCTTCAAAGGGCGATGTAATGATACCCACATGGTATTCATGCACCTTATTTTTATAAAAAAGAATGCCCTCACCCATCATAACCCCCCATTTATTATAATAGAAGAATTAAATATGTTAAAAAAGAGAAAAAAGTAGACAAAAAACTTATAAAACTCATTTTGAGGCATGAGCCCTATTTTGTCCATTCGAAAACATAAAAAGCCCTTTAAAATTGCCAAAAAGTTAAAAAAATGGAGCAATGATCCCATAAAATTTAGTAATGTAGTTAAAAAGGGGTGCGCTTCAAACAAGTCACAAAATATTGATTGCAATCCTTTATCCCCTATCAATTTTAAAGAGACATGGTTATAACAAATTGAAAATTGTTAATTCAATTGCAAGATTTACAACAATATTTTGGAATACATATAAAGACTTCAGGACTTTTCCAATGGAAAAAATCAAGTTACCTTGCTAATGAGGTAGGGATCCTCTGCTTATAACAAATTGAAGATTATTAATTCAATCTCAAAACTTTCAAATATATTTTGTAATACATATAAAGACTTCAAGACTTTTCGTGATGGAAATTAATTTAAAGGAAAAAAATCATCAAAAGCTACATTGCTCGCGAGGTAGATTGCAAGTTTCAATCTTCAATCCTAATACTCCTTTTATGGCAGCAGAGTTTGATATTCTCTTTAACCCAATAATTGTTAAAGGATGGACATTACATGTAAGAGCAGTGTAGAAATGGTCTACATATTGACAATTGTCCATAATGGCAAAATAATTATGTATGGCTGGCTAAAATATCTTTCCAACCATTTGTGTAAGGCTAGCAACTCTTATGATTAAAATTTCGAAAATATCTTTCCAACCATTTGTGTAAGGCTAGCAATGTCTCTTATGATTAAAATTTCTTTTGAACATGAAAATTGTAGGAGATGCACACTTGATAATGATGGATAATTTTAAGAATGATTAATTCTTATGAATGGTCAATGTTATATCAAATATATTCATATAATCACATTATTAAATTTCATGTTATTAAGGAAGTGGTTTGTTCTTACTAATTTCATCGTTGTTGTGATTGCGTTGACATCATTATATTAAAATTAGTACCCAATCTCAATTGTTCTACAATAGCTAAGCTAATCCGTTGTGCGCCATAAAATGCAATCGATAGGGCATGAAGCCTTTTAGCTAATGTTGGCTTTAAATTGTCTCCTTTGACAAGTTTTCCTTAAGTATGTCCGTGTTTCTTTGGCGAACGTAACTCATGATTACTAACAAAGATCCTTCAGTCAGATTTGTTCAACTGCCTTTGTTGATTTGTTATCACATTCCATAATAACTTGGGATGTTGGAATCATGAGATCTTGATTATATTTGATATCATAAGCCCATCATATATTTCCAGTCAATAATGATGAATTCCTTCCTGTAGTTCAAATTGCTACTAAAGGCTAAAAATTTTAGTTCCTATTGGTTGGCTTTAATTGAAAGCATTTTCTCTTGATTAGGAATAATAATTTACAATATGGGCTCAAATTTAAGGAAACCTTGAATCAAATCATAAAATCCTCATAAGATACTGTGATCTTTATTTAGTTGCTTATTTAATTTCCTCTTACCTTATCAAAAAATAACCCAGAATCACTTACACTTTTATAGAGCTAATTGAGTATTTTTGGGGCCCATAATTTTTCTCTTAATTCATGCACATCAATAAGATATTGGTTTAGACTAATTTTGAAGTTTTAAGAAAAAATTGAGTTAGCTTGAAGGTAATTTGGATTGCATTTGTGCAATAAAATAAGTTTAATGATTATCAATAGGAATGAATGGAGTATAATGATTTATAAAGTTGACTTAAAATAGTTGGGATAAAACTGTTGAATTATGAGGGTCTTATACATGTTTAAATTAATGTTGGTTTATTTCTTTAAACCTTTCTTTGTGATTTTTCAGGTGGAATGTCAGTGCAAGTGGGGCCCGCCCTAATCCCCAAGGATCTTTTAGATATGGTTCCATCAATGTGACCCAAGTGTATGTCTTGAAAAACAAACCACCAGTTCTTATTAATGGAAAGCTCCGAGCCACACTTAATGGGGTTTCATATTCTCCTCCGGAGACACCATTGAGACTTGCTGACCTTTATGACAAGAATGGGATTTACAAGCTTGATTTCCCCACTCATCCAGATGCAATATCACCAAAAATAGCAACTTCTGTAATCAATGGTACCTACAAGGGTTTCATGGAAATAGTCTTTCAGAATAATGACACTAAAGTTCAGAGTTATCACCTAGATGGATACTCATTCTTTGTCGTGGGGTATGAAAAAATTGCAATATCTCGGCTATACTTTACAGAAATAATGCTGACATTTGCAGAAAATTGGCTTAATGTACAAAAAAAAAAGCACATTATATGTAATTTCAAACTTTTATCAAATGGATTATCTTGAAATTTACAGGATGGATTATGGTGAGTGGACTGAAAATAGTAGGGGCACATACAATAAATGGGACGGTGTGGCACGCAGCACGATACAAGTGAGTAATTGTTTTTTTGTTCCAGATTTTAAGGGTACAACTTTCAATGTTCATTTTCAAGGTCTATGAATACCTCCAACTAGTTTGTTGGTTAAGCTTTTAAGTGGATTCTCTTGCTTCTTTTAAGAAAATCCTAAGATTGATCCGATCATTTGACCAAGAGCTTCCCAGTCTTGTATCATTTTGCCTCTTGACACGTTTCAGCCCAAGAGCTTCCCAGTCTTGTATCATTTTGCCTCTTGACACGTTTCAGCGGTCTTTATAGGCCAATACCATATAGTTTTTTATTTTAGTTTTCAGGATAATGAATCTGGTGCTTATGCATTGCTCAACACTATTAATTACTAATAAACAATCCTTTCAATTTAAAAAGTGCGCCTTACAAAACTGACTTTTTTTAGAAATAAAAACGTCACTGCTGCTATGAAACATATAAAGCACATGATGTCTAGAATGGTAAATGTACCCAAGACATTTTTGTCACACCCAATGGGGATGTTACTTCTCATGCAGGCCAAAATCGTTCAATCAAATTTATCTTCTTGATGGCTTAAATCTAACTCTCATAATTCTTAGGAATGCAAGAGATTTGAAGCCATCAATGTTGTATGTGACTTGCCCGTTAGAATTTGCGATGTTATTTTGGCTTTTACGATGGTGTTTCCCTTGTTTTGGCATTAAACACATGCTTTCGTTTGAATCATATCCTCGTTCAAAAATAATAATACTAATAATAATATTAATAATAACAAAACTCTCTGCTATGGTTGATTGAATGAAGTTAATGAGAAATAATATATATGCATCAAATATATACTCTCTAAGTAATAGATAATTCTATCAAAAAATATTCGAATATTTATTTAAAATAAAATTCCAACTTATCCAAATCAAGTATCGAAGTTCAGAAGTCATTCTTAACTTATAATTTGGATTTTAGTGCAGTGGTTAGCCTTTGCTTCCTTGATCTCCCTCGTATAATGTACAATTTATGATTTGATTGCATTATGGATTCATGATGACATCCTTTTCAATCTCAACCATGTGATCTAAGAATCACTACTATCTTAAATCTATGTGGAAACATTGTTGGTCGTAAATCAACTCTTAATCTTTTGATCGTTTCATGATCTAATGCATAAATTATGAAAGCAGTCTTGTGCACTTTGTGGAGACGGAGATCACATTGGTTGTCCCCTTCATAATCTAATCTCTAAATTTTGAGTTTTAGGAGGAATTAAATCTTTTGCATTTTAGTTTTCTTGAAGAATGAAAGTTTCTTGTTAACCTCTATTGTGTAACACTTAGCTTTGGTTTGTAATTAAGTAAATTTTTAGAAAACCTTAAAAAATTATTTTGAAATTTTGAATTTTAGGAGTTTTCTTATTCGTGAAGTTTAGATAGTATTTCATATTTTGTAGCCTCCTGTAAATGTCTAAAGTCATGCTTTGGGTGCATTGTTTGGCTTTACTTGTTTCCTTTGTTATGTTACATCTCCAGAACTTGTCAAATCGATGAGGCATTGATTTCCTTTTATCCTTTTTGCTTGATTTGACAAGATTTTGGTCCTTCAAGCTCCTCCTTCAATAACGGCATTGAATAGATATAAACATGGCAAAATAAGAGCTGCTCTTTTTTTATTATCCTTCTAAAGCTTGATGCCACATCAACAAACCAATAGTTGCACCTTGCTCATTCTCCCATGATCTATACGTCCACTCCCCCTCACATCTACATTGGCCTGTCTCCCTGCTCTGGTGTGCTTCTCTTGTCTCTGCCTTGTTCTAGAACTCATGAGACCTCTCTTTGATTCTTCCCCCTATGTGATTTCCTTCACTTCTATAACTTCACCTGCCCGCTATCTCAGGCCTGATTCGGCGCTGTTTGGGGGGCGGGGCAGCTGCGGTGCCCCGCGATTTTGTGTAAACGCGGGCCGCTTTTTCCCTTTGGCTTTTTACTCTACTGCCCCCTTTTTATTTTGATTCTGCGGTGCCCCGCGATTTTGTGTAAACGCGGGCCGCTGGTTCGACCCCGCGGCCCACTTTTTCCCTTCGTCTTTTTACTCTACTGCCCCCTTTTTATTTTGATTCCGCCCTAATCCCCTCCTACCTCCTTCGGTTCTTGCGCAAGAAATGTGCGATCTTACCTCTCCCTCCCCTCCTTCCTCTTCTCCGATGCATCTCACGTTTGTTGGTTCGTCCTCTTCCTCCTCTATTACTAGAATATATGTGAATACCTTGATTTTTTATTTTTGGTTTAGTTCGTCACCTTCCTCCTTTGTGCGAATGCGAAAAGCTCTTTTACTGGAATATATGCGAATGTTTTGTATGCATTGGATTTAGGGATTCGATGTGAATGCTATACGTTTTTCGTGGCTTGATTTTTTGTTTGGTTAGCTGTGTGAAAAAAAAAATCGTTCATTGGTTGGAGATGACAACAATCTGATATTGGTTTTTTTTTTTTTTTGAGTGAGACTCTATATTGGCTTGGTTTTGTTGGTCTCTCTGTCATTTGAGTGGTCTGCATGAGGATCTAACAAAAAAATGGAAAAAAAAATTATTGTAGAAGCGACTTGGGCATTGTTATTGTTCTTTGCAGTTTAGGATGAGACCTATATCGTCATCATGTTAAAAATAATATCATTTTTATTTTACTTGTAATTTTATTAGTTTATTTTTTTTTAGCACTTTTGGTACTGTTAAGTGAGTTGTGTATCTGAACTTTTGTTATGTTTTGAAATGAATATTTATTTCTGAAGTATTAAGTATGTGACAGTCATAGTTTTGTTTTAAACAGTTTTATAAAAATAAGAGCAAAGTGATCATGTTTTCAGAAACAGCTGTCACACAGATGTTTTCACACAGCCGTAACAAACAGACAGTCAGCTTCCTAGGGCAGCGCAACTGCAATTGAAAAACTGAAAAGTTATAGCTGCCCCAAACAAACCCTCGTACTGTTAAGTGAGTTGTGTATCTGAACTTTTGTTGTGTTTTGAAATGAATATTTATTTTTGAAGTATTAAGTATGTGACAGTCATAGTTTTGTTTTAAACAGTTTTATAAAAATAAGAGCAAAATGATCATTTTTTCAGAAACAACTGTCCCACAGATGTTTTCACACAACCGTAACAAACTGACAGTCAGCTTCTTAGGGCAGCGCAGCTGCAGTTGAAAAGCTGAAAAGTTGTAGCTGCCCCAAACAAACCCTCAGACTTCTGCTCCCATGCGATCTCCACTCAGGGTTGCACCCCCTTTTCTAATCTCACTAGCAAACCCCACTAACAGTCTCTTCCGGCTTTGCTTAACCATTCAACACCTTCCTTCAGATGCTCCCTCTCCCAACCAACACCTAACTCAAGTTAGGCAACACTTTTCTCAGCCCTCACCTGAAGACCTTGAGCTTTTCCTGATCTTGCTAAGACCAACGCTAATGGTGTTTCTCCATCCTCTTCTCTCTCACACGACATGTCAGCATCCAAGTTTAGCAACCTCAAGCTTGATTTCCTAGTCCAACCGACTCACCCTTTGTGACTTCCTTATGTCCGTGTACATGCATAGTTGCTTTTCAGGTCCAAAAATTGCAATGCCTTAATAACACTCATTTTGCTTAAAGTATATTTGTTTGGAGCATTTACATACATACAACCCAATTTCTATATATTACATATCTAACAGCTAAACTTCGTTTTTTTACATTTATACCATCCAAATCTTTCATATCACATAAAAGACATCCCAATATTAACTTTTAAAAAATAAAACACACCTTTTCATGTATAGGTAAGATGACGTATATGTAAAATTTGAAGTTTAGGTGTTAGATATATAAATATATAGGAATTAAATGGTATATATGTAAATCTTCCTGTTTGTTTTTGCATCCAATGTATCCTTTGTGCGTATTGTTACTTTCTATTCAATTTGAGTGTGGCTTAATTGTGTAAATTAAATTATTCGGATGGAATGTATTATGCAACATTTATATTAAGCTATACAAATCCTCATATAACCCTCTTGAAATTGATTTAATCATGCTAAAAGTTGCATTTGATTACACGGAAACATGTTTTGAACGATCATAAATTTTTATTTATCCATCATTTAGTTGGATGTTTTTAAAAAGTGAAAACAATTTTATAGTGAGTTCCGCACCTTAAAATAGATTAAAAACATGTTCTTCCCCCATGCTTTGATTGATACATCATTTGGCTGGATGTATTTAGAATTCATGGTTGATATTAATCTGCATAATTGATATTAAGATAATATCATTTTACAAATAATATGACTTTTTATTTCCCAAAACATGGATTCCATCCACAACCCAATTAATTGAGCCCTGAACTAAATTTAGTAATCTTTGATGAAGGTTTACCCTGGAGCTTGGACTGCCATCTTAGTCTCACTGGATAATGTGGGCACCTGGAATTTGCGCTCGGAAGATCTTGATTCCTGGTACCTGGGACAGGAGACTTACATCAGAGTCGTAAACCCTGAGAGCACCAACAGAACTGAATTGCCTGTTCCAGACAATGCTCTCTACTGCGGTGTCCTCAAGGACATGCAAAAGTAATATATAATTTAACTTCGTGACATTTACATATATACCACCGAATTACCTGTCTTTACATTTCTAACACCTATACTTTGCTTTTTACATATACCTCATTCAAATCTTTCATATCACGTAAAAAATACCATTATTTTAAATTTTAGAAAGCAATATACATCTTTTTATGCATAGGTAAGGTTCTAGATATGTAAATACAAAAGATTTGATTCGTATGTATGCAAATCTTCCTTTTTTATGCAATAAACTCCTGATTCAGCCATTCTATTTGCTTTGAAAAATTTTCAGACCTCAGTCGCCTCATGCCCAGGGCCCAAACTCCTCCTCTACAGTTCCTACTGGAAGTTTCATCATTTTGGCGGTGATGTTGTTTTGGGCTTCATTGCCGGTATTTCTGTAACAGCACTTCGGATAGGTTGCTGGGAGCTTTTTAGGCGCTTTAGAGCTGAGTTTAACTTTCAGGTTTGTTTGTTGTCTTTTAACTGTTTAAATTTAGTCTCTTCTGAGCCTAATTCATTTTTTTTAAAGGACATTATGGAATTTTCTTTTCTTTTATTTTATTATTGTTTTATTCTATTCAACTTTCATGTGTTACTGACTTTGTTTTTTTACTGTTTGGAAACTTCAGACATCTGTGGTTTCACTCGCTTCCCTCATTTGCATTTTTTTCCTTTTGTTTTTTGTATTTGCTATCTAACATCTAAATTTTGATATTTACGTTAATATCATCAAAAGTTGGATTTCACTCTTAAAAAGTCAGTGATTAGGGGTGTAAACGAGCCGAACACAATCTAAATTTTGATATTTACGTTAATATCATCAAAAGGTGGATTTCACTCTTAAAAAGTCTGTGATTAGGGGTGTAAACGAATTTGCTATCTAACATCTAAATTTTGATATTTACGTTAATATCATCAAAAGTTGGATTTCACTCTTAAAAAGTCAGTGATTAGGGGTGTAAACGAGCCGAACACAAACGAGCCTCGTTTATATTTCGAGCTCAAAAAGTGTGTTCGTGTTCAGCTTGTTTGCTTAATGAGCCGAACACGAGCTGTTCACGAACAAAGAGGTCTTTTAACAACCCTAATCATGTAGCCATTAGACATAGGACAATAAGGATTTGAGCAAGATTTAAAAATTATTATTTATATTAAAACATCATTTGAATCTAATTTATATATATATATATATATATAAACTTGATGAGTAGTATTTTGAGCCAAAACGAGCCAAACACGAACAAACACATCTTAGTTCGTGTTCGGCTCGTTAACTTATCGAAACGAAATTAATGAGTTGAACACGAGCTTCTTAACAGGCAGCTAAACACGAACGAACACATCTTAGTTCGTGTTTGGCTCGTTAACTTATCGAACAAAATGAACGAGCCGAACACAGTTGTTTGGGAACAATGAGCCGTTTTGTCAGCCCTATCAGTGATAGTGGTACTTTTGATGTGATAAGGAAAATTTTGAGTATATTTGTACTTTTAAAAAGCCTTTTTTAAAGTTTGTATATTTGTTGTTAGGAGTATAATTTGGTTGAATAAATTGAGAAAATAATTGAATAAGTGGATGAAAATGATTTTTTGTTAATTTCTTTACTGTAATTAAATTTTAAAAATAAGTAGATTCATGAATTTAAAATATTTTTCTCACTCATAAATATTAGAAATCATGTGCATATATTATGTCAAATTTGATGTTGGAAAAGACATTACTTTAATGGCTAAAATTTATTTTTTATGTCTACAGCACTTAAATTTTTTTGTATTGCAACAAAAAATAACATTTTCATTAATTTTAAAAAAAATGAAATATATATTTTCTCATTCATATGTGATGAAGTTTGGGTGAGATCTGTAAATACATAGGAATTGTGGGGCATGCAAGTAAATCTTCCTTTAAAAATTATAAAAATATTTATGAACAGAAATAATATTAGTGGTTTTTTATCTTTATGTGCTCTATGATAGTAAAAATTAGAATATCATATTTGTTGATTTTTTTTTAATGGAGAAATTTGCTTAAAAATTTAATTTAGATAAAAAATCCTCTTTTTTTTTTAACAAATCAATTAAGAGCCTTCGCAGAACAATTATGTGAATTTATTACTACAGGAACTCATCATCTTCTTAGAACCTTCTTCGTATTCTGAGATCAATAAGCAAGCGTATTGGAAGGCTAAACTTTAGCATGTTATAGTCAAATCGGGAGACTCGATCAGAGGAGTCCAATGAGTCTATGATCATTTAATTTCGAGGTCGGTAACGCACCTAAACATTATAAAAAAATTATTTGTGATCAAGGAATCAATGAAGGCAATTTGATGGAGTGTTTTAAGATCTTGACTAAATTTATTTAAATACTCATATTAAAGATTATAAATAGAACTTTATTTTATTTTATGGGATGAGAAGAAAAGAGCGAACTGATTATTAAAATTGTACTCGTGGAAGGCTAAACTTTAGCATGTTATAGTCAAATCGGGAGACTCGATCAGAGGAGTCCAATGAGTCTATGATCATTTAATTTCGAGGTCGGTAACGCACCTAAACATTATAAAAAAATTATTTGTGATCAAGGAATCAATGAAGGCAATTTGATGGAGTGTTTTATGATCTTGACTAAATTTATTTAAATACTCATCTTAAAGATTATAAATAGAACTTTATTTTATTTGATGGGATGAGAAGAAAAGAGTGAACTGATAATTAAAATTGTACTCATGCTAAATGGTTTTACATAATTTATTCTCAGGAATTCCATTTATTAATTTGATTTGAGCTTCTGTTGCTTTTTTTCTTTTGTCAATTGGTTGATAGTAGGAATCACTTGTTTATCTTCTATTGCTTAAGTGGTTCTTAATTTTGGATTTTATGGTAGTTGGTTGTGCTAAATGGTTTTACATAATTTATTCTCAGGAATTCCATTTATTAATTTGATTTGAGCTTCTGTTGCTTTTTTTCTTTTGTCAATTGGTTGATAGTAGGAATCACTTGTTTATCTTCTATTGCTTAAGTGGTTCTTAATTTTGGATTTTATGGTAGTTGGTTGTGCTAAATGGTTTTACATAATTTATTCTCAGGAATTCCATTTATTAATTTGATTTGAGCTTCTGTTGCTTTTTTTCTTTTGTCAATTGGTTGATAGTAGGAATCACTTGTTTATCTTCTATTGCTTAAGTGGTTCTTAATTTTGGATTTTATGGTAGTTGGTTGTGCTAAATGGTTTTACATAATTTATTCTCAGGAATTCCATTTATTAATTTGATTTGAGCTTCTGTTGCTTTTTTTCTTTTGTCAATTGGTTGATAGTAGGAATCACTTGTTTATCTTCTATTGCTTAAGTGGTTCTTAATTTTGGATTTTATGGTAGTTGGTTGTGCTAAATGGTTTTACATAATTTATTCTCAGGAATTCCATTTATTAATTTGATTTGAGCTTCTGTTGCTTTTTTTCTTTTGTCAATTGGTTGATAGTAGGAATCACTTGTTTATCTTCTATTGCTTAAGTGGTTCTTAATTTTGGATTTTATGGTAGTTGGTTGTGCTAAATGGTTTTACATAATTTATTCTCAGGAATTCCATTTATTAATTTGATTTGAGCTTCTGTTGCTTTTTTTCTTTTGTCAATTGGTTGATAGTAGGAATCACTTGTTTATCTTCTATTGCTTAAGTGGTTCTTAATTTTGGATTTTATGGTAGTTGGTTGTGCTAAATGGTTTTACATAATTTATTCTCAGGAATTCCATTTATTAATTTGATTTGAGCTTCTGTTGCTTTTTTTCTTTTGTCAATTGGTTGATAGTAGGAATCACTTGTTTATCTTCTATTGCTTAAGTGGTTCTTAATTTTGGATTTTATGGTAGTTGGTTGTGCTAAATGGTTTTACATAATTTATTCTCAGGAATTCCATTTATTAATTTGATTTGAGCTTCTGTTGCTTTTTTTCTTTTGTCAATTGGTTGATAGTAGGAATCACTTGTTTATCTTCTATTGCTTAAGTGGTTCTTAATTTTGGATTTTATGGTAGTTGGTTGTGCTAAATGGTTTTACATAATTTATTCTCAGGAATTCCATTTATTAATTTGATTTGAGCTTCTGTTGCTTTTTTTCTTTTGTCAATTGGTTGATAGTAGGAATCACTTGTTTATCTTCTATTGCTTAAGTGGTTCTTAATTTTGGATTTTATGGTAGTTGGTTGTGCTAAATGGTTTTACATAATTTATTCTCAGGAATTCCATTTATTAATTTGATTTGAGCTTCTGTTGCTTTTTTTCTTTTGTCAATTGGTTGATAGTAGGAATCACTTGTTTATCTTCTATTGCTTAAGTGGTTCTTAATTTTGGATTTTATGGTAGTTGGTTGTGCTAAATGGTTTTACATAATTTATTCTCAGGAATTCCATTTATTAATTTGATTTGAGCTTCTGTTGCTTTTTTTCTTTTGTCAATTGGTTGATAGTAGGAATCACTTGTTTATCTTCTATTGCTTAAGTGGTTCTTAATTTTGGATTTTATGGTAGTTGGTTGTGCTAAATGGTTCTACATAATTTATTCTCAGGAATTCCATTTATTAATTTGATTTGAGCTTCTGTTGCTTTTTTTCTTTTGTCAATTGGTTGATAGTAGGAATCACTTGTTTATCTTCTATTGCTTAAGTGGTTCTTAATTTTGGATTTTATGGTAGTTGGTTGTGCTAAATGGTTCTACATAATTTATTCTCAGGAATTCCATTTATTAATTTGATTTGAGCTTCTGTTGCTTATTTTCTTTTGTTAATTGGTTGATAGTAGGAATCACTTGTTTATCTTCTAGGATAAGAAGAAGGATGCAGTGAAGAAGGTAATTGCTGCAATGACAGTTGGAAAGGATGTCTCATCATTGTTCACAGATGTTGTCAACTGTATGCAAACGGAGAATTTAGAGCTGAAAAAGCTCGTTTATCTATATCTTATAAACTATGCGAAAAGTAACCCGGACCTTGCCATACTTGCTGTGAATACTTTTGTGAAGGTATAGCTTGCCTACTTGCTTATAATTCATCATAAATAGTTGTTTTATCAATTGTGCAAGTTGGATAGTTATTTTACTTGTTGATTTTCTAGAAGGATACATGAGTATTATTAGATGGTCGTGTTGTTCTAATAAACAGATGACATTTTGTGGTTAACTTTGTAGGATTCACAAGATCACAATCCTCTTATTCGAGCCTTAGCTGTGAGAACTATGGGATGCATCCGTGTAGACAAAATCACAGAATATTTGTGCGATCCTCTTCAAAGATGTCTAAAGGTTTATTTATCAGTGATTAATTTTGGTTAGCTGATATTCTATTTTCTTATTCACGTTGTCTTTTTGTGCATTTTATTATTATCATCTTTAATATAGTCTATTTTTATATAAGTGGATTGAAATTTTCATGTATTTAAATTTAATATTTTTTGAAGTCAAAGATTATGACTTTTTTTGAGTATTTACAGGATGATGATCCTTATGTCAGAAAGACTGCTGCAATATGTGTTGCTAAATTATATGATATAAATGCTGAGTTAGTAGAAGATAGAGGATTTCTTGATACTCTTAAAGATTTGATATCCGATAATAATCCAATGGTGGTAGCAAATGCTGTCGCAGCACTTGCTGAGATTCAAGAGACTAGTACTAGACCAATATTTGAAGTCACTAGTCAGACAGTTTCGAAGCTTTTGACTGCGTTAAATGAGTGCACCGAGTAAGTTCATCTTTGATTTCTTTAGAATTTGGTCTTATCTCACTTGCATGCTATTTTTTTTTTAGCAAGTACTTGTTTTCTTATACTTTTCTATCTTTGACTTTATTTTCATGTTATGATTATATTGGTGAACTCTGTAGATGTGCTTCATTATTTTGTACTATTCTTTGTTATTGTGAAGGAAAGTTCTTTGCAAGATATTTGTGGGTGGGTTCTAAAAATTCTTGCTTGACTCATTCATATTAGTGCTTCTGAGCTAACTAGTTCGATATTTGATAAAACACCATATAGAGATTTTGTTCACTTTGTAAAAATTTTATGATTTAATTTGAGATTTTACATAGGCGCACCCTTTGATTAATTATCTCTCTCGTTCAGGAGAATTTATTTTTTTTTTAAGGTTAGTCCATAGACTCTATAATACTTTGTTTTAGTAGCAAAATTTGAATTGGGGAAGAATGTACTATTTTTGGCTCAACAATTTGGGTTGGGGGAAGAATATATCGTTATTGGCTCACAGCAAATGTCAGAAGGGTAATGATAATTGTAACTAGGATTTTATGGTTTTGTTATCTCATGTTTTCATGCACTCTAATTTATTTATCAGAGATAGTAGATTTAATTCAATTAGAGGATATTTTGAAGAAATCATGCATTATGTTATCCGAGAGGACAGAGAAGACCTTGAGTGAAAGCTTGTTGAAGGGGCCAGTTTTAAAGATATCTTGGCTAACAGATGATTTCATGCCCTTGGCTAACAGATGATTTCATGCCCTATTTAGTGCACGCTATAGCCCTAAACTTATAGACATAGCCATTGGAAAATTTTAGGTTTTGGGTGTTGATGGTTATATGGTGAGGCTATCACAAATAGGCTTATCATTCTATCAGGGGCGCATGTCATCTTCTTTCTGGTGTGAGATTTAACTTTTACATTTTCTTTGTTTTCTTATAACTTTTATTCTATATAGAGGGCTAGATTTAGATTGAGTTGCATATAATTATTATTTAAAAATGCCCTTCATCAAGGGCTTGAGATATATTTTTTTTCGGATTTTATGAAGCCATTTTAATGATGCGGATTCCCTTCAGATTGAGCTGTTATGATCATATCTTTTATAAGGGATTTTGCTTGTAGTTTGTTTTCTTTGTGGTTAGAAACTTAATTTTTAATTTTGAATCTCCCTAATTATAATCTTTTGATAATCAAAACATCATTATAGGAGGTGCCTTTGATTTGGGATATTTTATCTTAAATATAACATTAGTACAAAACTTGAGCCATAGATGCGCTTACTTTTATTTTTTTAACATGAAGTTTATTTTGCTATGAGATATGTAGATTACACTACTTACAGAAAATCGGGATTTGGACTGAGACTTGCAATTTAAAAGTTTTATAGAAAAGACTACTTTAGTTTTTGTATCATGGTGATCATGTAGGGGCTCTATCGACCCCACTTGTTTGCTTGGAGGATCAGACTCCAAAACAAGTTCCATACTATCAGAAAAGCCCATAGATTGAGGTTGACTTGTACTTGAGTTTTTGTATGATTTAGGGGCCCTATCGACCCAACTTGTTTGCTTGGAGGATCAGACTCCCAAACAGATTACATATTTTCTTATCATTTGTGGTTAAGATGTCTCGGTGAAGTTGATCATTTTGAAAGGGTAATGAAGTTGTTATTGGTATTGTGCTTTATTTGAGTGGTTACATTGGTTTTGTTATGCACTTATGTTGTTCTAATATTTTGGGTGGTGATGAAAAAAATTGTAATTTTCTTATTCTTCGATTGTTGCCTTAAAAAAAAAAAAAAAAAACATTATCATGCAAAAATATCTAATACATTATGCATTTCTTTATTCTTGATGCATCCAAATTTAATAATTTTTTTTTTGGCAGATGGGGCCAGGTATTCATTTTGGATGCTTTATCAACGTACAAAGCTGCTGATGCACTGGAAGCAGAAAATATAGTGGAACGAGTAACTCCTCGTCTCCAGCATGCCAATTGTGCAGTGGTTCTTTCTGCTGTGAAGGTTGCCCCAGTCAATGTTTTGCATTTGGAAGCATTTACCCTCTTATATTGAGAAAACAAATTAATTTTATCAATATGAATGTTAGAGTTTAAAATTACTATTTCTATTCAATCAATCATATGCAATTCGTCGTGATATTATTCAGTTAGATTTATAGTGTTATAATATTTTAAGAATATGTGTTTCAATTAGAGGCATTCTAGCAAAAAGAGAACGCTTAGGGCTTATTTAGTTGTTCGGAAGTCAGAGAAATGACAATTTCTGCATCTAGAAGTGGGGAATTCTTGAAAGTTGCTTCTAAGAAAAGTTATATTAGATTTTCGGTAATTTAATACATAGCAATTAGAGTATATTTATCCCAATTATTTAAATGATTGAAAATAAGGTAAATTGCTAGTCACTGATAAGCAGATGCAATATCATAGATTGAATTCCACGTAGGTTATATTTTTGTGTGACTTAGATTTGTGAGTTAAGGTGATGATGAACTTGTTTACTTTCATTGCACTTTTCAATGTGCATAATTTGTAGCATTGAAAAGACCAACAAACATTGCTCATTAGTCTAGCAGAGGCTGGACGCCACACACACACTCTCTTTCTCTCCTCCTCCCGCACTGACTTCATCACTTTTCCCATGGCGCAAATTTGTAGGAAATAAGATGGTAGGAAATGGATAATATATATTAATGCTTTTCTTGCATAATTTAATCCATATGTTTTAGCTAAATCAGATAATACAGATAAAGAGTTGTCCCAGTTTAAGAACTGCGCAAGGTGCACGAAGATGGGTGTTATTCTGCAATTCGTAAAAGATTCTTTCAGTTAATATTGCTTAAAGTAGATTGATTACACAACAGTCAACAGAAATGGAGGAAGCGTGATAATGATGAAGATGAAGAACATTTACTAGGTTTTTGGTGACGACGGATCTCAATCTTATCCGGACTTCTAAATCTTAAGTTTGAAATGAAATATTTTTTAAAGAAAGAATTTTTATGTCCTGGTGAAATGCTATTTGGTTTGTAGGTAAAGTACTATATAAATAATTGATTTGATTCTGTTAATAAAATATGTAAATGTACTCTTAAATGTACAATCATTTAACTACCACTATTTTTTGTGCTAGTTTAATAATTGCTCTTATTTGTTTCTTTATATAGTGACTCAGTTACTTAATGCTTAGTTTGGAAGATTATAAAGAGATTATAGAGAGACAAGGTCTTTTGCATAACAATGCATTATTAGATGTAGTCTAACTCTTCTAGGAGTGCAAGGCTAATTCTGCATCCTACCTCGACTTTTTTTGTTATTTATATTCTCATAAACTTAATTTCAGATGTCTTGTCAGCAATTAATATTTACCTGCTAATGTTGGAAGATTGATGACTCAAATGATAGCAAAAACAGTATTTATTTATTAAAAATGAGAGTGAACTTAGAAATCTATTTCAAATCCATCATTTTTTTTGGCTGATTAATGTTTTTCTTTTGGAATTCTCATATTTGATGATGATTCGATCATGCACTCTGTACCTGATTTCTCCAGATGATCCTTCAACAAATGGAACTCATAACCAGCACAGATGTAGTGCGGAACCTATGCAAGAAAATGGCGCCTCCTTTAGTGACTCTCCTTTCTGCGGAACCTGAACTTCAATATGTAGCTCTACGGAATATCAGTCTTATTGTACAGAAACGACCTACAATTCTAGCGCATGAAATAAAGGTGAGTTAAAATGTGCAAACATGTTGTTATTCTACGTTACTAATTTGTAATGCTTACTAGAATCTGGCCCAATTGTGCTTTAGGTTTTTTTCTGCAAGTACAATGATCCCATATATGTTAAGATGGAGAAGCTGGAGATTATGATTAAGCTTGCTTCTGATCGAAACATAGACCAGGTGCAAAAATGTAATTATGTTGTGTTTTTATATCAAATGCAAAATCCATTACTACAATTTTTTTAGTTGACCATCTGATGGGTACCTTGAGAGGGATTGGCTGAGTTACATTCAAATTTTCAAAGCATCCCAAACATTGCTATTTACAAATCAAGCAGCCAGATGAATTTTTGAACTACCAAACTGATGCATTTAGACCCACGTGTCGCAATCAAACCATTAAGAATTGATAAAAATTAAAAATATGGGTTGGGGTTTTATCATAAAGTTTGTTAATTGATGAGAATTTCAAAATTGGATGAAAGAGGGTGCTTGATTTGTATATAGTAATGTTTCTCTTGCTCTGTATGTAACTGCCCCTTTTTTTTGCAGAAACAAACTTTACTGATGAGACTTTCCTCAAATTTTAGCTTTTGAAAGTGGATTCTCTCTTTCACTCTGTGTGCGCGTGTTATAATGCCTTACATTAATGTTAAAGTATGGTTATAAAAAAAAACTCAAAATTAGGAGAGAAATGTATTTTGAAATGAAGTTTTTTCTATTGCTTTTTATTTGATAGATTCAGATGCGGGTTTTTTTGTCTTATTGTTCCTTACAATATAATATAGAAATATGAACCTGCTGGAGATTTTGAAATTGTTGGAAGATATTCACAGCAAGTAATTTGAAGAAAATTTTAATTAACCATAAAATCCTAAGATTCTCTCATCTACTGTACTTTTCTTCTTTTGTTATACAATCTTTCGTTTCCTCTTCATCACTTTTTTTTTTTTAACTTTCTTTACAAAGGTTTTTCTTAGTTTAATTATATTTTCCCTTGATTCATTTAGGTGAAATTTTTTTTCCACATAGATTATTGAAATATTAGTTGGTTCTTGGCCCTCTTTAACAAGGACCTTTATTTTTCCCTTTCATGTTTCGGCTTCCCCTCCCATGCTTTTTACTGGTTTCTTTTTATACTTGTTCTTTTTTCTGATTTTTCTATTCTTTCCCTGTATCCATTCTTCATGTGGCTCTAAAATTTCCTCCCTGACTCCATAGAAATCTTTTGAGCGATTTCAGGTTAATTTTTCAGGATGTAGATTGGGCGCTTAGATAAGAAAATGGCCATAAATTTCAATGACCTATAAGGAATGTATGATCTAGCTAGAGATTTTTATAGGTGCAAGCTCTTCTAGTTAATTATCCTTTTTTGATTGCAAGAGAGAACTTTTAATTAAGAGTAGTTTATGTGCCGTGAGATGTAGGACACGGGAGTTCCCGTGATGCTGTGGTTTCCATGATTCCTTGGTCCTGCGAGTATGGGAATAACCACAGAAGCTGCCTTTTTTATTTTATTTTATTGAAGTTATTTTCAACAATTTTCAACAATTTTTTTTTTTTTTGCTTCTTTACTTTCTAGTTCTTTTATATTTTACTAGTTTCTAATTAGATTATTTCCTATTAGGAGACCTTTATATACGAGTATTGAGTTGTTTTGATTTTCAATTTGTTAATTTTATGAATTTGAAAAATGTTTCTATGAATTTTGCTTTTCGGAGTGCTATATCATATTCCTTTTGCAATTATTTTGTTTAGGAATATGTGGTGAAACCTCCTCGCCGCCCGAACGTTGTCGATTCAATATTTTATGTGCTATTTGTAGTCGGGATAGCCATCGAAAGCGTCTAACTGTTAACTTTATCCCCATAATCTCTTCCTAACATTGTAAGCCCCACATCTTAGCCTTCCCTCGCTATTCCTCAACGATCTTCCCGTAAAACCAACAAAACATCTTCTAGGCGCCCTAGAATGGTATCACTAGGTATCAGAGCCTGGAAAACCCTAGAACGGTATTATCTGGTATCAGAGCTCGATAAGCTCTAGATTTCAGGGTTTTGTCTTCCTTTCCTTAAATTGAAATTCTAAATAATTTAACCTAACTACCCCAAAAAAAAAAAAAAAAAATTTCTCGCATCATTCCTGCCGCAATTGTTAGCTCTAAGCTTAAAGTTTTTAAAATTCAACCTTCCTATCTCAACCAAAATTTCACCACAATGCATACACCAAAACCTAAGCTCCGACCAACCCTGATTTGCAATCTTACATTGGCTTGAAACGTGATCGGGAGGAAAGGACACTATGCAGCTAAGGAGAAACTCTCAACGAACTGTTTGATAACTTGCTATGCAGGATATGTAGCAGAAAATCTTCCAACTGCAGCAAATGCTTACCGTGTTTGGGAGGAGACAATCATGTGAGGTCACCCATGACTACAACAGTGACTCGCCAGATCTAGAAGAAGTGAATCTGTTTCACTGGACAATTTCTAGTGTTTAAGAACTAATACCTCCTAAATTTGACATGAAATATCGAAGAAGAATCCCAGACTTTGGAGTGAAGATCGACATGTCAGATTTTGACCATCGCATGAATTCATCGAGTGGCTGTAGCTAATGGAACGTGACTTTGAGTACAAGGATGTTCCACTAGACAGAAGGGTAAAGTTGACAACCATCAAGCTTAGGATGAATGCTTCCTTGTGGTTTGAAAATTTAAAACGCCCATAACTCCATAAGGGAAAAAAAATCACAACCTGATACAAGATGAGAAGGGACATGAAGTCAAATATCTCCCATCATATTATAGACGTGAAATGTTCTTGAGGCTTCACCAATTATTGCAACAAGATTTCTTAGTAGAGTAGACAGTTTGAGTTCAAGTAGCTTATATTGAGGCGTGAGCTAGTTGGGCATGAGAAAAACACCATAGCTCGATATCTGGGAGGATTGATACCGTTTATTGGCAACATGGTCCAATTACAATCCTAGTGAACATTACAGGATATTCAAACCTAGCTCTGAAGGTGGAGAGACAATATAACAATATCAAGTCCACACCACCCTTTAAATGTGGCTCAACCACATGATCATTTAGCTAAAGTAGACCAGTGGAGCACTTGAGTCAACTCTACTAGAGGAGAGGCCCGTATCGAGTGGAGAAAAGATGGAGACCGCCAATACTTCTAAATCCGTCCCAGCTAGGAAATGCTGGAAGTACCATAGTGCTGGGTATGATTGCTAAGAAAAAGGACGAATGATTGCTAAAACAAAAGGATAATATATTTCACTGAGCAGGGTGCAATGGAGGAAGCAGAGGGTGAGACCCAGAGAAGGAGAATTATTAAGAGGAGTACTAGATACCTGGATATGAGGGATGCTAGTAATCCGATGGGTTTTTTAGACTGAGTCCATGAGAGAGCAACAATGGCTTTGCCATAGCATATTTCTTACGAATTGCACCATGAAGGAGTAGTTTGCAACATCATTATAGGTGGAGCTAGCTCTAAAAATGTGACATCGATGTTGTTGGTGGATAGATTGAGCCGCACTACTCAGAAGTATTTTCAACTATATTCGTTGGCCTGGTTAAAGCAGGGGAGTAAGATCAGTGTTGACAGGAGATGCCTCATGTAGTTTTTCTATAGGAGACTAGCTGTAAGATCAAATTTCATGTGATGACGTGCCTGTATGCATGTCATTCTTTTGGGCCGATCGTGATAATATGATGGGCACATTTAACGATGGCCACAAAACACCTACTTATTTATCAAGGACGGGAAGTGTATTGTACTTCTGTCATTGGAGGAGTCTGTTGTTGTGGGTACTCTTGCCATGATGGGAGCTTTAGTGGCTCTTACCACATTTTAAAAGGCTATGAAGAGAGGCCAATGAAACTGGCCTCGGTGATGCTAGAAGCGAGTGCCATAAAACTTGAGGCAATGCGGCCCCACTACTTTGCCACTATTGAGAGCTACCTAGCATGTCATCATTTCAAATTGAGATGTGAATGCTTTGAGCTATTTTTGGAAGGCTCTATGGAGTAAGTTAGGTACTAAGTCATAAGTTAATCCAACAGTGTCATCATTGATAAATTGTCAGATAGGAGTTTTATGAGGAATGAACATCAGACAATGGGATCCAGGCGTTTCCGACGAGGGCAAAACCTCTTCTAACCCGGGAGAGTGATGCGGGACGCGTGAGTTCCCACTTTACTGCAGTTTTCGTGACTCACAACTCCTGCAAGTGCGAGAATAGCTGCAAAAGATGCCTTTTTATCTTATTTATGTTATTTTCAACAATTTCCCTCCTTTTTTTTCTTTTTTCTTTCTAGTTGTTTCCTATTTTCCTAGTTTCTAGTTAGACTATTTTCTTCTATGAGACTTTTACATGTGTATTGGGTTGTTTGGATTTTCCGTTTGTTGATTTTATGAATTTGAGAGATGTTTCTCTGAATTTTTCTCTCCTTAGTGTTGTATACTCTTCCTTCTGCAAATGGGGTATTTGTATCTTGCTTAGGAACAAGGTGGTGGAACCTCATCATTGCCCGAATGTTGGCGATTCATATTTTTCTCCATTGTTTGCAGCTGGGATGGCCGTCGATGATGTTAAAGTTGATGTCTAACGACAGCTTTATTCTCGTAATCCCTTCCAAACACCTTAATCCCCACATCTTTGCCTTCCCTCACCATTCCACAACCACCTCTTTGCAAAACCTGCTCCTAAAACACCTTCTAGGCACCCTAGAAAGGTATCACTATGAAGTTTTTTATGTTTTGCTTGAATCACAACAATTTGGATTTCAAGAAGGGATTTATTGCTATCAGCTTATTTAATGTAGTGGAGAAATGATGAAATGCGATCAATATCTTATGATTTCGTTATAGTGATTTTCATGAATCTTCATATTTTTTGTGGACATTGTCGAGTCAATATGATTAAATGCTTATTCCTAGCAACTATGAATTGCATCATTTAAGGGCATCTTATAGATTTGGGGCGAAAATTTTGAAGGGTACATTTTTAAGCCGTTCATTTCTAACTTATAGCCTCATTCTCTATTGATTCTTTCTTATAATTCTGATCTCATAGGCGAGCTTAGGTCGTAACTATAATACAATGATATTGTCGCAATTAAGTTTACTCTAGTCCGTGATTTTTTTGTTGTGTGGTTATATGGATGCATTTGATATGATATTGAATCTTTACGAGCTTTGATCGAATTTAAAGTTTTCGTTCTAAATAAATTGTTGCAAATGAGGGATGGATAATTGGTCTAAGTGTGAAGCGTCTTGCTTGATTTTCTTTTTTTTTTAATTATTTAGTTTCATTTTTTTTTTACAATGTCTATAATTGAAGTTCTCTTCAACTATGATATTATTTTAATGAACGAGTGAGTGAAGCGATGTGCAAGGGAGAGGTAGACAGAAAATGAACGAGTGAGTGAAGCGATGTGCAAGGGAGAGGTAGACAGAGAGGTAGCGAAAAATGGGGGAGAGTTTGCTCGTGCGATTTGCAAGAAAGTGAGAAATGTGGATGAAGTCAAGAGGAAAACTCTAAGAGAGTTTTTTTTTATATTTATTGTTTTCCTCTATATTTTTAATATTATTTTGATTTTTTTTTATTTTGGATTTTTCTTGATAAGAGGTTTGGTGATTATGTGGGGTCATGTAATTGTGAACCGGAGAATTTGTGACAGTATGAAAAACTTAAGAAAGCCTAACAAGATGCGAAAGAGAAAACACCTTGAAATGGGGATTAAAGATTGAACAATTAAATCTTGCTCGGATATCAAAATTGAAGAACGAGTGAGAGGAAGATCTGAACACAACTTATAGCGATTGGCATACACATCTTGGTTCTAAGGAGATCTGATTGGCTTCTCAAATAATAAAATTTTGTTCAATGTTCAATCTGATCACAAACCATTAATCCCTGTCTATACAAATATAATTGCAAGGATAAAGCCACAAATATTTTGAATTCAAACCTATTCCCTATAAGCTTTTAAATTTTAAACTAATTTTAATTAAAGAAGATTTTTAAAGCTAATAAAAATATGATCTCTTAGTGGTGAACGTTAGTATGTTACTTAGAAAGTAAATTGGATGAAGTGATGAAAACAATAATGACCATGTTAACATATTTCACTAACCTACTGTTAAAGATGAGAGAATCACACAATTCAACACTTTTCTGGGTGACATGGCCAACGTAATGATGGCCATGTTTGGCATAAATGACCAAAATACTGTAGATGTGGGTAGCTTTTGGTAATCTTACAAATTATAATTGATAGATTAAACTTGACATGGTGCCAACTTAAATTTAAATAACCTACACTCAAACTAAGAAGAGCATGATTTAGATTGCATGAGACATAGTAATACATCGTCTATGGTTGAGGCATTGCTTATACATTTAAATAATGTTGATTTGGAAGCCTTTATATTGTTTGTTGAAGAGAATAAATAATGCAATCGGATACTTGTAACATGAATGCTTTCATATGTTGTGTTCGGGAGAGGCAGAATTTTAGCGAAGGTTTAAATTTGTAGTTGGCAAGTGTGAAGTTCACGTTTGGTGGATAGTTGCCATCTAAGCATTTTTGCGCATTACTGAGTCTATTTGTATACTTTTCTTGTAATTTTATTATCCAACGCTTTCTGGTTTCACTTATTAAATAGGGAGTCATATATCAATCTTGACCATATAACAATCCTATAATTTTGGCCAAAACTCTGTCCAACTAAATTATCTTTAAGTTACCCTATCAGATCTTCTCTCCTTGATCCTCATAATCAAAAGCCTAGAACCCGATTAAACCAAATCTCAAGGATAGTCGAACAACTCCACAGTAGCCTTTAGGCCTATTCCATCCATTGATGAACTAAACTTCAACGATTCTTGGACACATTAAGCCAGCTTAACTATAGCGTAAAGATCAAAAAATCCCTTGAAACTAGAGACTTTCAAGGCCATATAGAATTATGCTATCTCATATAATGATCAAACTTCACACTCTGCATGTTTGCTTTTCTTTTGATTTGGGTAGTCGACCAACTTAATAAAATGAGGAACTTGTTAAGTCACCATGAATTTGATAAAGTGCATTCGCCAGAAAAAAATAGAGTAGTTTGATGATAATTGGGCGCTCGTTAGAGTTGAGTCTGCTAAAAGTCTTCTCAAGATTTTTCTTGCTTGAATCAATAACCAAATAAGGCATTGTTGATTGAGACTTGTCTTGCATCAACTATCAGATGATTTATAACAACATATAGTGTGACATGTGAGAGTGTGGCATGTGTAGATTATACGCATGATGATGATTGATATGTTGGGTGCGAGCAGGTTTAATGGGTGGAGAATTATGTATAGAATGAAAATTCGACCAAAATTAAAAATGGGCCCAAAAGGTCTTGTAAATTTGTCCAGTTTAGCTCCTTGCAACTCGGTTTGACTCCTATCGGTTCGACTCCTATTGGCTTAAAAATTTGTTTTTTCTTGGCTGAAATAGCTGAATTGTGCTGCATCTCTTAGGTTGAGAAATGGTAATACAGAAGGCTTACTTCACTTTTAAGTTCTACTGGTCATGCATAATCTTAAGGATTACATTAGATGTGGGAATCTTTTTAATGCTATTATTTTAGTTTCCCATCTGCATCATTGAATTTCAGTATCTACTTAGCATATTGCCATTTACCAGTTTAGCACTTTGCTTTTCCATCGCCTATTTTAACATAAAACTTAATTTCAAAAGCAGATAATTTTGCAGTTTTCATGTGCTGAGATGATTTTTGAGCAGGTTCTGTTGGAATTCAAAGAATATGCGACAGAAGTAGATGTGGATTTTGTTAGAAAGGCAGTTCGAGCAATTGGTCGCTGTGCTATCAAGTTAGAGAGAGCTGCAGAGAGGTGTATTAGTGTTCTACTTGAGCTGATAAAGGTAAAAGTAAACTATGTTGTACAAGAAGCTATTATTGTCATCAAGGACATTTTCAGGCGCTATCCCAATACGTAAGTGCATGATGACATTTCTCGTTTATTTATATGTTTTTTCGAATGAAAGTCTGCTTTGATCATTGAGACATTTTCTTTTCTTTGCTCTGTCTACACTTAGCTATGAGTCCATCATTGCCACACTCTGTGAGAGCTTAGACACTTTGGACGAGCCTGAAGCTAAGGTACTAGCCTATTATTGGCAGGATAGATAATGGACTTGTGCATATTGTATTACTTCTTTCTTGATGTTTATGGGTTTTTCAGGCATCAATGATTTGGATTATTGGAGAATATGCTGAGAGAATTGACAATGCTGATGAGCTTCTTGAAAGTTTCCTTGAAACTTTTCCAGAGGAGCAAGCGATGGTACAGCTACAATTACTCACTGCAACTGTCAAATTGTTTCTCAAAAAGCCAACTGAAGGACCGCAGCAGATGATCCAGGTTTGTCATGTTCATGTTCATCATTATTTCTTTTCTGTCTTTCTATTGCAGTAGTTATTTTCAGTGGACTATCAGTTCTGCGATTACTCAATGTGAAATTAGTGTATTGATATCATGGCTGTTCAAAAAGATGCATCTTTTGGTTTAACTATCATTTATTTTATTACTATGCATTTCATGCTTTTAACTCTTTTCTTTAAATATTTGTGTTGTTTATCGTTGGGTTGAATAGTAAATTTATAGAAACAAGCCACTATTTTGGGCACGTTTTCTCATGTTTCTGTTTTGTTTGTTTTTCAGGTTGTTCTTAATAATGCTACTATGGAGACAGACAATCCTGATTTACGTGATCGAGCATATATATATTGGCGTCTTCTTTCTACTGATCCTGAGGTATTATTAGCGTCCAAATTCCACTAGGTATATTTGTAAAGGCCATTTTGTTATGTCTAATCTTTTGTCTTTACCAGGCTGCTAAAGATGTTGTTCTAGCCGAGAAGCCAGTAATCAGTGACGATTCAAACAGCCTTGAGCCTTCACTTCTTGATGAACTCCTTGGAAACATTGCCACCCTTTCTTCAGTTTATCATAAGTTACCTGAAGCATTTGTGAGCCGTGCAAAATTAGCTTATGCTAGGCCAGATGATGAGGAGTATCCAGCTGCTGCTGAAATGGGTAATTCTGAGTCTCCATCTTCTGAAGTAGATGGGGCAGCAGCCACTTCTACTCAAAGTTTCACTTCGCATGAGACAGCCAGGCAGCCCGGACTAGGCGCAGCACCTCCAACCCCACCATCAGCACCCACTTCACCGCCTGCTTCTGTGCCAGATTTACTTGGTGATTTGCTTGGCTTGGACAATGCACTCGTTCATGTTGACCAGCCAATTGTCCCTTCAGGGTGAATATTCCAACTTAGCAATAGAGCAAAGGAACTAAAGAAAACGAATGAACTTGATAATACTATTCTTATCATTTCTATTTTCATCATTTATTGTAACTATTGCACCTATATATTGTAACTATTGCACCGAACTATATATATATTGTAACTATTGCACCGAACTTTGTAGGCCACCACTACCTGTTTTACTGCCATCATCGACTGGTCAAGGTCTTCAGATTAGCGGACAGCTTATCAGGCGTGATGGACAAGTGTTCTACAGCTTATTGCTTGAAAACAACTCTCAGATCGTCTTAGATGGATTCATGATACAATTTAACAAAAACACATTTGGTCTTGCAGCTGTTGGACAATTACAGGTGATTGATTGTGTTACATGGGCTTTGTAAAGCATCAGAAACTTAACTCATTGGACTGATTGTCTTGTTTTTTAATTATCAAATTTTTTAGGTTCCACCTTTGCAACCCCATGATTCGGCGAGAACCCTTTTACCTATGGTCATGTTTCAAAATATTTCTCCTGGGCCACCAAACTCTCTTCTACAGGTTGCAGTGAAAAACAATCAGCAGCCAGTCTGGTACTTTAATGATAAAATCTCAGTGCATGTATTCTTCTCAGAGGATGGTAGAATGGAACGTGCAAGCTTTCTTGAGGTAAATGTAGTTTATAATTTATGAATTGTTGGTTCTCTTTTTGTTGCTTTCTAATCTTGGATATCTCATTTGATAATTGGGTGATAAAATCACACTTAACACCATGTTTGCTTGAAAATAATTGAGCTCTGCAAAATGTGGATGACAAAGCTAGATTAAATATTATATTAGCTTGAAATGAACACCAAGAAATAAAAATACACTCATGAATTTGTAGCAATTAGGCCTGTCAATCAAGCCTACAATCACTCCCCTAGTTTCCCTTTTGAAACTCCACTATACACGACTTAATGACAAGTGCGAGCAAAACTTATCATCTCTCTAGGTTTTGATTAAACCAACATATTTTTCTGAGATCAATATCAACCTTTGCATGTATTACTTAAGATTCAAGAATAAGATAATGGTATGCCAAAAACTTATATTTTAAAGGTTTACAAGGGAAGCGTCATAAAAGAAAACACTTGCAATGCCAAAAACTTTTGTTTGAGAAGGAAATATTTGCTATGAAGAATGAGAATGAAGGTTTAGGGAATTGAAACAATACTATTTAAAGAAACTCCCACACAAGTTTTAGCTAAGGAGGCGTAGAAGTACATCACAAATGATCTTGCAGATGAAAAGTCTTCAAAGTTTTCTTAAGTTTGAGAGATCTGAGGAGCTTGTCAGCAAGTGAAATCTTATGAGTTATGATTCTATTTTTCATTAAGTTAATTTAGTCCAAATGTGGGGAGTATTTATAGGCAAAGTGATCCATTAAGAGCTGGCCATGTGTAATTTGCAGGAATTTTATATATTGAAGATCGAATTTCATTTTGGTTCATTACATGGTCTCAGTTGAGAAGGATATCACTGAAGAAAATCTTCAAGATGTATTATTTCCATTCTAAATTTTGTATGAAATAAAGGGATTTGGATTTTTAATGCGAGTTAGGTACTGATTTCGTGAATATTGAAGATCGAATTTCATTTTGGTTCATTACATGTTCTCAGTTGAGAAGGATATCACTGAAGAAAATCTTTCAAGATGCATTATTTCCATTCTAAATTTTGTATGAATAAAGGGTTTTGGACTTTTAATGCAATTTAGGTACTGATTTCGTGATGTTTTGTTTGTTAGCGCAACTGACATACTAATGGTTCTCAGTTGAGAAGGATACCACTGAAGCAAATATTTCAAGCTGCATTATTTCCATTCTAAATTTTGTTTGAAATAAAGGGATATAGATTTTTAATGCGATTTAGGTACTGATTTCGTGAAGTTTTGTTCGTTAGCTCTAATGACATACTAAGGTGCATTGGTAGAATGGACATATTTGGACATTTGAAGCGTCATGCATGGTATCCTTTAGCCAAAATACATTTTTTCAAGACGTTTGAGGATAAATAGTTTGCAAGTGGCTACAAGATTTTAAAGTTTGCAAGTGGCTACAAGATTTTTAAAGTTCATGTTTTCTCATCCAAAGAACTCTGTCAAAATTCAATAAACTTGGCCAAGATTTTGATTT